TTCTTTGAAAGAACTATGAACATTTTAGCTAAGATTCAGTTTCCTAAGAAGTAAAATAGGAATAAAAATAGTAATGGTCTCATAGGGTTGTTGTGAAGATTAAATGAGGATGTATTTAGCATTTTTCATGCAGTCCATAATTAGAAGTGTTATTTTATTAACGTCTTAATTATTTAGAGTGTCTTGGATAATCTCATGCTGAGTTATATTCTTGAATAGGCCCATGGGATAAAAAGGCTTTTTAGAGCCACGCATGACCATTTGGGTCTCTAAGACACTGGGTCAGAATTTAGAAGATTGGAGTCAGTCTCAGTTGATCTCTAGAACTGGAGCAATGGAACAGAAATGACCACTGGCTTGTCATAAGCAGTGAACTCTCTGCCTCTAGCTTCTCAGCCAGAAACCGTTTCCTAGCAGGATTGGAAAAAATGGTCACAAGTCATTGTCTATATTCAATTAAAAAAAAAACTTGGTGTAGGCATATCTTAGCCACCCACTTGCCTTGTTTTCTATTATCCTTTCCTCCAGTTCATCTATTTACTACGGGAACAGTCTTTCTAAACTCACCACTGATTCTGACCAAATGATTGTACATTCTCCATAAAAACCTCTTGCTACTGGTGTCTGCAACATTGAGGAGAACAAAGACTTCAACCTTCCTTCATTCTATTGGTAGGTAAGAGAAGTGAAATGTGTCCCTCCTCTGTTAATCAAGTTAACACTACTTTCTCAGTGTTCATTGTCCTTTGACAGCACTTTCTCCTCATTGTGGATACCATACCCCATCAAGATGGACTGCCACCTGCATACAGCTGCCACCTCCTGTCACTATTTGGCTCTTCATTAAAGAACTGTTCCAGCTGTGACCAAATTCTGTCTTCTCCTGCATGGGGCTTAATCAGAATCCACACAGTGTCAGGGTTCTGAGATTGAGACCAGGAGCCAATCTTCTGATGATCCTTCTTTCCTTCTTTCCTTTTCTGTTCAAGGTGAGGTGGTGATTGTCAAACTGAAAATGGGGCTTTTTATGTCCATGGAATTGTGAAAGCTTTTCCCACCTTTGAACAGGAGTGATAAGAATCGGGGGTTGTCTTACCCTTCCACTGTCTTTCTCTCAAAATTTCCTTTGAATGTGTTCAAAGTCCCATGTACCTGCTGTGGAGGTCTCTAGAGCCCAGTCTCCTGGAATTTGTGGGCTCAGCACTTAGCTGGTATCCTGGGGAATAGGAAACCAAATTTAATTAACAGGGCCCTTGGGATTGCAGTATATGTTGGGTGTGCTTTGTTCCAAAGGGACTTTCTCTTTGAATAGAAGTCTTGTGATTTTAAAGAAGTCCCACATGGCCACTTAAATTTTGTGAGGTTTTATCTGGGAAGTCTATATATTTTCTAAAGCAAATGGATATCATTCAGAACATACATTGTCTCTAAAGAAAGCTAATGTTGGAGTATATCAGTCAGCTTGGGCACCACAACAAAATAATGATAGATTGGGTGGCTTAAACACTTGACAGTTTTTTGGCCACACCTGGCTGTATTCAGAACTCTGCACTCAGGGATCACTTTTGGTGGGATTTTTGGGAACCATATGTGGTGACAGGGAATCAAACCCAGGTGGGCCATATGCATGGTTATGCATGGTACTGTCTCTGTACTTTGTTCTATCTCTCTAGCCTAATAGACATCTATTTTATCACAACTCTAAACACAGAGAGATCCAACATCAAGGGGCTTGCCAACTTAGTTTCTGGTGATAGCTTTCTTCCTTGATGTGATTCTCACATGCATAGAGAGATCGCTGTTCCTGTAGGATCTAGAGCCTAATGTTTTGGCCTCATTTAACTTTAATTTCCTCATCAAAGCTCTATTTCCAAATAAGTCACATTTGAAGTCACAGTTGCTTCAATATCTGAGTTAGTCCCCAAGCACCACTGGAATGGTACTGGTGGTTCTTGGCAACAATAAGTCCAAGCCGTTCCACATCCTTGTGTCATACATCAAACTGTCAAACCTTCTATCTCTGAAAGTATTCCTTGGGCCCCCTGTGCACTGTTTGGGAGCTTCTCCAAACCATATAAATTGGGAGTGGGATAACAATTTATTTCAGGGGCTACCGCAATAGCACAGCAGGTAGGGCATTTACCTTGCACGTGGCTGACCCAGTTTCGATTCCCAGCATCCCATATGGTCCCCTGAGCACTACCAGGAACAATTCATGAGTACAGAGCCAGGATTAACCCCTGTGCATCACTGGGTGTGACCCAAAAAAGCAAAAACAAACAAACAAACAAAAAACCCAATTTATTTCATAACTTTAAGAACTCTTCTTCAGTGATTGCATTATTAACTTAAATATATATATTTGCTGAGCATCTAGTCACTGCTTACATGATAAACCAATAGTTACAATCTTTCCCTTTTGTCATTCACAGTTTAATGGATAATTATACAATAATTCAATATCAAACATAAACATGAAAGTTTAGTCTTATAAATGCCAGAAGGAAAAGTACAGTGTGAGGAATGGATCTAACAATCCAGGGGTGAAGGAAATTTTTTCTGAGGTAGTGACATGAACTGAAGTCTAAAACATTATGTATAATGGAGGGATACAAAAAGGAAGTACTCATTTCTGGCCTGGACACCGTTATGTGCAAAGGTCCTGAAGTGTAAAAATAGTATGACATCTGTCGAAAGTGGACTATGGACTGAACATGTTTGCCACTCAATGCCTCTTTTGCAGACCGCAGCACCCAAAAGGAGAGAGAGAACACAGGGGATTGCCCTGCCACAGAGGCAGGGGGGATGGGGGGATGGGGGTGGGGGGGATATTATCCATGGTGGTGGAAGATGGGCACTGGTGGAGGGATGGGTATCTGATCATTGTATAATCAAACCCAAGCACAAAAAATTGTAAATCTACAACTGTACCTCATGGTGTTTCACTAATAAAAAAAATTTAAAAAAATCGTATGGCATCATGCAGGACACAACATGAAGGCCACTTTTGCTGACATATGAGAGGGAAAGTGGTAGGAGAGGAAGGCTGAAGAGGAAGAATGCAAGACTTTACAAGTCACAGTGATGGCTTTGGTATTCATGTTAGGAGCAAAAATAAGCTGCCCAAGGGCTTTAAATAAGAAAGTGATAGCATAACTTTTTTAAAAAGTTTTTTAAAGGATAATTGTGATTATATGAAGAAAGAATAGAGAATAGCAGAAATTAGATTAGTTGGAAGTTACTGCCATTGATGCATCAAATTAGGAATAACAATAGCTGGGCTGAGATGAAGAGGGGTTTAGTGTTTGATTGAATAAACAACAGGAGGGAGAGAAAGGCTATAGAGTAATATCTGTTACTGGGGGAGAGCAACTAGGTGGATGGGGGTGCTATTTTCTGAAATGGGAAACAGTGGAGAAGGAGGAGGTAAAGACTCATTCATTTCAGGTGCTGTGTGGGTGCAGACCAGCATTTCACTGGTCCTAACAGAAACTCACATGACTGTAGCAGAGATGGAAAATGGGCGTGCTACTTTATATTTTCTTCAACTAATGCATTGGGCTGGAGCGATAGCACAGTGGGTAAGGTGTTTGCCTTGCACGAGGCCAACCCTGTTGACCCAGGTTCGATTCCTCCGCCCCTCTCAGAGAGCCCGGCAAGCTACCAAGATTCTTGCCTGTATGGCAAAGCCTGGCAAGATACCCATGACATATTTGATATGCCAAACACAGTAACAACAAGTCTCACAATGGAGATGTTACTGGGCCCACTCGAGCACATCAATGAATAATGGGAGGACAGTGCTGCTAGTTATTGCATGGGCATTTGCAATCTTATTCTACCTGAATGAGCTGATGAGTCAAAAGATGCGTCTGTGGTTTCAGTTGGGTTTCTTCCCGTTCTTATGAACTCATGCTCAGCTTTTGATTGAGGTCAGCAAGGCAAGGCTGCATGTCACCTCCTAATCTTGTCAACAGCTAAAAAAGGCTTATTTGAAAGCTACTTGCATGTTTTATTAATAATGATTTCCACCCCTTGGCTCTCTGAGTGTTTGTGTTTGGAATCTGAGAAGCTGACTGACTGATCTTCACCTTACTGTAAGAGGATGTCTAAACTTTCATAAGCGTGTTTTGCTGGAGGGTTGAGGACTGCTTTGGATTGGGTCGAGGGCAGAGCTTAGGGGGCCTCTTTCAGCTACTCGTCAGACAAAACATTTGTTACAGAATCACCTCTCTTGGCTTCATAATTTTCAGAATTACAGCTTGCCTCTTGAAGTTTTTTGTTTGGGGATGATGTTTTTCCAAAGTTGTCTCAATTGCATACAGTGCCAGGTGTTCGATTTGGGGTAAGTGGCTCTTAATAAAGGCTTAACTCAATGTGAAGACTTTCCAAGTTGTGGCATATGAGATTCTTTAAAAATTTTTTGTTTGTGTTTTGGACTACACCCAGGGTGCTTAGGACATTCTCCTGGACTTATGTTTAGGTATAACTCCCGGCAGAGTTGGGGAACCATATACAGTGCTGGGGACTGAACTTGTGTCTGCTGCTTGCAAGGTCTTACCTACTGTAATATCTCTGTTCTAAGATTCCTGACTATATTACATAGGTGGGAGGGGGTGTGGAAGAATGATGGAAATTCTAGAAGTAGTTTGAATGGGCATGAAGTTTTAAGTTGTACTTTGTCTATTTTAAGTTAATTCTTGAGAACTCTTACAGACAACAGTGGGGTTGGAAGATAGGACTAAAAGAGTCTCATTCATGTTTTATTACTAGTATTGCAAGCTAATTTGTCATTCTTTAATGAAGCCTAAACCAGATGGTTCTGAAGACAGGGCAGCAAGTTGTACCTTCCATTGTTATCTATTTTCCCAAGTGAAAGACTGTCCCATATGTTAATGGGATATGTCACTTGAGGTGAAGCATCAGTTTGTATTGGTAGAGCAGCCATCGGCTGCCCCCATCTTCCTCATGCTTTTTCCTGACTCTCTGGTCTTTTCTAGGTGTCTGGCCCATCAGGAGGACCATTGGTGCTGCCGTGGAAGCCAGCGGCTAGATCTCGTGTATGGCGTGGTTAAGGTTGCAGCCTCTCACTTCTGCCTTTCTCCATTTTGGGCTCATTACTTTTGTGCTCTTCCTGAATGGACTTCGGGCAGAGGCTGGTGGCTCAGGGAATGTGCCCAGCACAGGGCAGAACAATGAGTCCTGTTCGGGGTCATCAGACTGCAAGGAGGGTGTCATCCTCCCAATCTGGTACCCAGAGAACCCTTCCCTTGGGGACAAGATTGCCAGGGTCATTGTCTATTTTGTGGCCCTAATATACATGTTTCTTGGGGTGTCCATCATTGCTGACCGTTTCATGGCATCTATTGAAGTCATAACTTCTCAAGAGAGAGAGGTGACGATCAAAAAGCCCAATGGAGAGACCAGCACAACCACAATCCGGGTCTGGAACGAAACTGTCTCCAATCTGACCCTGATGGCCCTGGGATCCTCTGCTCCTGAGATCCTCCTCTCTTTAATTGAGGTGTGTGGTCATGGGTTCATTGCTGGTGATCTGGGACCTTCTACCATCGTGGGCAGTGCTGCTTTCAACATGTTCATCATCATTGGCATCTGTGTCTATGTGATTCCTGACGGAGAGACTCGCAAGATCAAGCACCTACGAGTCTTCTTTGTCACTGCTGCTTGGAGTATCTTTGCCTATATCTGGCTCTATATGATCCTGGCAGTCTTTTCGCCTGGTGTGGTCCAGGTCTGGGAAGGCCTCCTCACTCTCTTCTTCTTTCCAGTGTGCGTCCTTCTTGCCTGGATGGCAGATCGGCGAATGCTCTTCTACAAATATGTACACAAAAAGTACCGCACAGATAAACACCGAGGAATTATCATAGAGACAGAGGGTGACAATCCCAAGGGTATCGAGATGGATGGGAAAATGATGAATTCCCACTTCCTAGATGGGAATCTAGTGCCCCTGGAAGGGAAGGAAGTGGATGAGTCTCGGAGGGAGATGATCCGGATCCTCAAGGATCTGAAGCAAAAACACCCAGAGAAGGACTTGGATCAGCTGGTGGAGATGGCCAATTACTATGCTCTTTCCCATCAACAGAAGAGCCGCGCCTTCTACCGGATCCAGGCCACCCGAATGATGACTGGTGCTGGCAACATCCTGAAGAAACATGCAGCAGAACAAGCCAAGAAGACGTCCAGCATGAGTGAGGTGCACACAGATGAGCCTGAGGACTTTATCTCCAAGGTCTTCTTTGATCCATGCTCTTACCAGTGCCTGGAGAACTGTGGGGCTGTGCTCCTGACCGTGGTGAGGAAAGGGGGTGACACATCCAAGACAATGTACGTGGACTACAAAACTGAGGACGGTTCTGCCAATGCAGGGGCTGACTATGAATTCACAGAAGGCACAGTGGTTCTGAAGCCAGGAGAGACCCAGAAAGAGTTCTCTGTAGGCATCATCGATGATGACATTTTTGAGGAGGATGAACATTTCTTTGTGAGGTTGAGCAATGTTCGTGTAGAGGAAGAGCAGCCAGAGGAGGAGATGCCTCCAGCCGTACTTAACAGTCTTCCCCTGCCTCGGGCAGTCCTGACGTCCCCTTGTGTGGCCACAGTCACTATCTTGGATGATGACCATGCAGGCATCTTCACTTTTGAATGTGACACTATTCATGTCAGTGAGAGTATTGGCATCATGGAGGTCAAGGTTCTGCGGACATCAGGTGCCCGGGGCACCGTCATCGTTCCTTTTAGGACAGTTGAAGGGACAGCCAAGGGCGGTGGTGAGGATTTTGAAGATACATATGGGGAGCTGGAGTTCAAGAATGATGAAACTGTGTAAGTAACCTTGGCATATTCTACCCACCCCCCTCCATTCCTTACCATCTCCTTCTGTCCTTCTGTCCCACTCTCACTTTTCATGTTAATGTTAAACTTTGGTTCCATCACAGGTATACAGGATCAGCAGATACTACTGACAGGTTCTGATTACAAACCTTCTTTCCATTTTTCTCTCTTTAAACTGTTTTGGGGCAAGGAATTTGGTGGCAGGATCTAAGGACACAGAACATCTTGACCATTGAACCTCACAATGATGACTGGTGGAAGTGTGAGCTTACTGAACTTTTAATATCAAGTTTTGGCAAATTCTTGTGACTAATCGAGAACTAGGTGACCATCTGGTCACTCCTTCCTTTTTTCATGCTAAGGGCTTGCTTGTGTGAGTTTTGAAACTGATTCATATAATTTTGAGGCAGCAATGGCCCACTTAGGATGCAATAAAGCAAATGATATTAGCTCCCTTTACCCCCACCCCTTATCATTGTATCATTGTTATAAAAACAGATTTCAGGTCCCTCTCATTCCATCTGAATATTGCAAAGTTGGTTGAAACTCTGAAATCTCTTTCAAATGCCTATAGGCTATTTTACAGTGTAAGACTTGCCTAGCCTAGGTGAGATAAGTCCATGTGGCCTGGGTCTTTACAAAATCAGAGTTCCCAGGCCAATTGCCCGCTGTCTTTAGTCCTAGGTCTAAGCGCCATAATCTGAACATGCAGTGAGGGAGAAGCCTCTGAGGAATCAGGAGAGGAAATACATTTTCATTTTCATAGTCCAGAATTCTTCATATTATTTCCCAGGTTATTGCTTATTTAGTCCTTCAAACTCTGGGGGGTTGCATGTATGGGCCCTTCTCCCCCTTGGAGCGAGTACTGGGTGTCTTGTCATTTTCTCATGTGGGCAGCTTTGAAGAAAAAATCAGAGACATTGTCCTCAAGGTTTGCTACTTCTGAGATAATCTAGAGCAGATCATCTAGGGTGGCCAAGAAGAATGTGAATAAGAGAAGAGAAACTTGGCTAAGAATTGCTGTTTATGTCCACAAACAATAAGCAGTAGTAGAAGAAGATGTGAATAACAGAAAGGGAACATAGGCAGGACATGTCAAGCTGCTCCAAGAACTCATTAATAGGGCCCTCAGTGGGAAAAGAAAATATGCAACTTCTAGAAAAACAAAGAAAAGAGCTAGAGGAAAAGGGGTCTGTCATAGATAGGGAGGGAAGGGGAGTGTCATAGATACGCATCTCTTCAGGTATGGCCATGAGACAGAGCTCAGAAGGGGCTGGATTCTGCTGATAACTGTGAGTGAATGAGTGTGTGAGTGAGTGTGTGTGAGTGTGAATGAATGCGTGAGTGTGAGTGAATGAGTGTGAGAGAATGAGTGTGAGTGAGTGAATGAGTGTGACTGAATGAGTGAGTGTGAGTGAATGAGTGTGAGAGTGAATAAGTGAGTGTGAGTGAATGAGTGAATGAGCTAGCCTTTGTGGACTCACTACTTATCCTTTCTTTATCTCTTCCGAATAATGTGATGTTGGGCACATTATGGAGTCTTTCCTAAACTAAACTGCACGGTTTCATTTGTAAATGGAAGTAGAAATACTTTTTTTGCCTGGAGGCAGGGCAAGATCTCTGTGCAATTCTTGCCAGCTGTAGCATTTCCTGAGCTATAGACACTGGTGCTCAATGTTGGTTATATTTGCACCATCCAAAGATGGAACAAGAGATATTGTCTCCTAAAGTAAAATAGTCATTGACAACTTGATTTATTAGTGCTCTGTTTAGTGATTTTGCTGGGAGGGGTAATCATTTGTTAGTATAAGTAAATACCCGTGCCTTCCAGAGGATACTATCTATTTATATGTGCTCTAGGGAAAGCGCTTATACATACAAATGAGGGACAGGACTTTGCTAGGAAGAGAAGCTCTATGAAGTTGTATACACATTGATGGCAGTGACATTATATAAGAGATTGTTGTCAAACTTTAAATTGCATCAAAACCATGCCACTGGGAAGAATTTGACAGTTATGAGGGATCTTCAAATTAGAATTTATCTACCAAGAACACTGGAAGGTAGTTTTTGAGAGACTAGAGACTTGACTCTTCCCTCCATACCATAATAACTTATACACTTATGATCTATGCATATGACTAAACCTTTCTCTGCCATTTTAGTTTTTATTTTGCATAATAGCTTCATGTCAAATGACTGTACTTCTGGATGATACTAGTTTTATTTCAGCTTCCTCAAGTCTGAACTTCTTTCTAGGTAATCAGGTTTGATGAACAAATTTATGTTCCCATGTATTCCTTTACATGCTTTCTTTTAAATTAATTTAAATAACCCTCAGCATTGATTTACCCCCTGGTCTTCTTTAGTACAGAACACTGAGTCGAAGAGTTACTGACCTATATTCACAGTTTAGTCCTGCTTTTAATACTCTAGTTTGTAATTTTACATCTAGAAGAAGTGTGATATAGCATAAAAAATAAGTACTTTGGATTAAAACTCTGGTTCTTCAACTGACTTACCCATGCAGCTTTAGAACATTTATTATCTTGGAGATTATATTCTCATTGGCACAACTGAAGGACTGTTATGATAATTTAAGATACTTTTTATTTTTTTGCTTTTTGGGTCACACCTGGCAATGCACAGTAACTCCTGGCTCTGCACTCAGGAGTTACTCCTGGTGTTGCTCAGGGGACCATATGGGATGCTGGGAATCAAACCTGGGTCGGCCATGTGCAAGGCAAACATCCTACCCGCTGTGCTATCTCTCCAACCCCTAAGATACTGATTTAATGTTCCTAGTACATCATTTATGCTCATTCAACAGGGCAATTAATAATAATATCAATTAATTAGTAGTATTCTTCAGAAGACATTATTGAACACAACAAGTTATTTAGATTGTTGTGTGGCCTAATTCATGAGCATATAGTGTTTTGTTTTAACTTTTTGGTTATCTTTAAGATCCCTAACCTAAGTTCATAACTCATTAGCCATAAAGATCCTTAGAATATTTTCTAGAAAAGTGTTTCTCAATTTTTTTATTTTACAAGTTAGTTCTTAATATTTGATTACATTTATTATTCAAACACCTTCCCTCCACCAAATTTGAGATGTTACCATTCCACACCCAATCCCTGTCCCAAAACACAACCGAAAGAGTATATTTTGTATTGTCTGTTATGAAGAACTAATGAATAAGCTTACAAAAATTTTTTCATATACGAAACAGTGTGAAGATTGTTTTATTTTGGCAGGAGCCATTAAGACATTCTATAGGATATCACTAACATGTTGTTAAAGTTTGGATGATGTGAGCTTTGGTATATATATCTGAAAATATGTATATACGCATATATATATATTTCCCACTGGGCTGGAGCGATAGCATTGTGGGTAGGGTGTTTGCCTTGCATGCAGCCAACATGGCCGACCAGAGTTTGATTCCTCCGCCCCTCTCGGAGAGCCCGGCAAGCTACTGAGAGTATCTCACCTGCACGGCAGAGCCTGGCAAGCTATCCATGACATGTTCGATATGCCAAACACAGTAACAAGTCTCACAATGTTACTGGGCCCACTCAAGCAAATCGATGAATGTCGGGAGGACAGTGACAGTGACAGCGATATTTCCCACTATGATTTGTTGCCTACTGTCTGAACCCCATTAATATGGTGTGGTAATTATGGAGAATGGGTAGGGAGTGTCTTATGATGCTTTTGTGGCCACGCAGTCCAGGAATATGTTCACTCATATGTGAGGCTCGGCCCGATCGTGTGGAGTGGCCTGGAGTTTGGTGGTGGTTGGGTTGTGGAGGTTAGCTGCTGGGGCTGGGTCCCTTGGGGCGGGGAGAGCTCTCACCTACCCCTTTCTGGGGTGCCCTGAGTGAAAACAGTCTGGCGTAGAGTCTGGTGGCATGGCTATCGGGGCCTCATTTTATGATCCCTTCTGGGAGAAGCAGTCATGGGATCTGAATGGTGGCTGATGACGAGATTATCTGGCACCAGCAGGAGGTGGCTTATAGGACTGACCCCTCGGCCACCAGAGACTGGGGAAAATGGGCAGAGGATCTCCGCTTCTGGGTCCCGTTGAGCCCAGAGTCTAAGGTCCGCATTACCTGGGTTCTGTGGAACTTCATTCATGTGTGAGGCTCAGCCCAAGCATGTTTCTCAAATTTTAATATGCTTAGGAATCATGCAGGGAGCTTGCTAGAATGCAGATTGTCTTCCAAAAGATCTAGAAGAGCAGGGCTTGAGATACTGCGTTTTTAACAAGCTCCTGATGCGGTAGTCCTAAGTAATAAAGCTCTTAACTAAACCATTAGACCCGGCCAGAAAAGTGGCTTTCCAAGTGACTTGCTTAATTGGATCACCAATGCTTGCTTTCCATTCCGCACTTTGAACTCCAACTTCAATAGAACTCTGCTCTTACATGAGACACTGCTAATTGCAATACTGATCTAAAAACTGAAATTGAAACCTCAGGGTATTTAGGCAGAAGGTGTCTTATATCTGGAACACAATGTCCACTTATTTTTGTGATTGGAAATATGCCACTCTCCACAGTGCTCAGGGGTCTCCAGAATTTTGTAGAACTGTAGTCAGAACTATTCTTGGGCTCAACTCCAGTGTTTTTCACAGGTAAGGCAGTGCTCTGTGCCATTTCTGAGGACAAATCTACTTTCTAATCCTTTGCTCTTTGTGTAGCTTTATTTGCCTTCCATTCCTGGTAGCAGTGGAAATTTTGCTATTACCACACTCCTGTAAATCAAATCAGGTTGAAGCATGACCTCTGCCCTATCATTAATATTGTGTCGGTGAATTCACTAGCCTGATTTTCTTTTTTTACTTTTTCAAAGGTGTTCACAGTGCCATGGTAGGATGGAAAAATCTTGCAACTTGGAGTCTAACAAATAGATGTAAATCCATCATTAATGAGAGGTTTAATTTTGAGTAAGTCACTTCTCTTCAATGAAGAGATACTTTGTTGG